TTTTTGAGTTGCAGCCAGTGACTGGTGGAGTACCACAGGGATCAGTGCTTGGATCCCAGCTATTCACAGTATCTCTTCAACAATTTAAACCACCAAGTTTGTAGATGACACAAAGCTGGGTGGGAGGGTGAAATGTGAAGAGGATGCAGAGATGCTTCACTGTGATTTGGACAAGCTGAGTGAGTGGGCAAATGCATAGTAGATGAGGTATAATGTGGCTATGAGAGTTTATCCGCTTTGGTAATAAAAACCAGTAGGCATGTTAGTGTCTGAATAGTGATAGATTAGGAAAGGGGGAGGTACATCAAGACCAGGGTGTTCCTGTACGCCAGTCGCTGAAAGTATACAGGTGCAGCGTGCAGTCATATGTTGGCCTTCATAGCGAGAGGAAGTGAGTACAGGAGGAGGGATGTTTTGCTGCAATTGTACAGGGCCTTGGTGAGATCATACCTGAAAGTATTGTGTGCAGTGTTGGTCTCCTTATCTGAGGAAGGATGTTCTGACGATGGACGGAGTGCAACAATAGTTTTAACAGATTAATTCCTGGGATGGCAGGACTGATGTATAAAGACAGAATGAATCTTTTCAGACTGTATCCACCCAAGTTTAGAAGATGATAAGATATCCCTCAGAAACTTTTAAAATTCTAACAGGACTGGACAGGGTAAACACAGGAAGGATGTTTCCAATGACCAGGCAATTCCAGACCAGGTGTCACATGCTAAGGAGATGGGTTGGCCACTTAGGACTGAGATGAAGAGAAATTTATTCACCCAGAGAGTGGTGAGCCTGTGGAACACACTGCCACAGAAAAGTTGAGGCCAAAACATTAAATATTTTTAAAAAGTAGACAGATATAGTTCTGAGGTCTAAAGGGATTAATGGATATGGGGAAAAAGCAGGATTAAGGTACTGAATTGATGATTAGCCAGGATAATATTGAATGGTGGAGCAGGATTGAAGGGCGGAATTGTCTCTTGCTGCTCTTATTTCACATGTTTCTGTGTTTATTAATTTAATGTAAATTCCAACCGCTGCCATGGTTGGATTTGATCAAATATCCCAGAACCTGAGTATCTGGGATATGAGGCCAATGACATTATCACTATGCCACTATCTGGCTATTGCTTTGTTATTTAATGTCTTCCACCTTTAACCAAATCTCAGACCTTTCCCTTATTTCTCTCTACTTGCCTCCATTTACAGAGGTCTTGTGATACAGTGGTAGTGTTCCTATCTCTGGGCCAGCAGGCTCTTGGCACGAACAAGAATAATTTTATTTTCTGAGGGACTAACCACACATCTCCTTATAACATCATTAAAAGTGCTTATGTTTCTAATATTTGCCAGTTCTGATTAATTAAAATATTGAGCGGTTCTCTCTCCACAGATTATGCCAGACCTGCTGAATGTTTCCAGCACTTTTTTTTATTATTTATTTCCATCGTCTGCAGAATTTTATTTTAGAAAAACAAAGAGGTCAGTTTTATGATTTGTTTTGCAATGGCAAAGTTTAATATGAAATTGCAGTCATAAAAGGATTAATAATTTACTTTTAAGTTGTGCAGATTAGAATTCAAAATTAAGTTTAAATTAGAGGTACTACATTCCTTACCTCACAGTGCTCTCTATAAAGAATCTGTAATGTTCTGATATCCTCAAGGGTGATGCCATCCAATAATGGAATGTCTGCAACCTCAAGCTCTACAAATTCAGGAAGAGCGCGAGAGGCATCTATTATCAAAAATAAGATTTATTAACACTAGTCATCTGAGAGACCAAACCATGCTTCATTTACTGACATCAAAAGGCCTTTAGAGCTTGGAGGGTAAAGACTCTGAAGCAGCCAACTGTGTTGCAATTTTGGTCTTCTTTCACCGAAAATGCTAGCAGACTATTCTTACATATGCACTCACACAATACGAACATTTGTTTTATTTATTTATAGGATGCAGATGACATTGGCAGAGTGAGCATTTATCGCGCATCTTTAATTGCCCTTGAGAAGGTGATCTTGAACTCCCACAGTCACTGTGGTATAGATAAGCCCAGAATGCTTTTAGATCTTGAATTCCAATGTGAATATGAGGAGAACTTGCTGCTGGTGGTGGTGTTGCCAAGTGCCTGAGTCCCTTACTCCTCTACGTGGTAGAGGTTATGGCTATAAAAGTCTTTGGAACGTCAAGCAAGTTTTTGGAAAGTTGAGGTGCACCTTGTAGATGGTACACAATGTTGTCATTCAGTCATGGTGTAGTAAATGAATGTTCAGAGTAATGAGTAGGATGTTGATGAAGTGGTTTGCTTTATGGTGGTTTGGAGCAGCAGGTGGTGAGAGTAAGCCATCACATTCCTGACCTGTGCCTTGAAGACACCAGAAAGATTTTGGAGGGTTACGCACCACAGAAAATCCAGCTTCTGACCTGCTCTTTATTACATGGTGACTTGCAATTTTCTAGTTAATTATGGATTTGGAGACATGTGTTAGTAATTAGCTTACTTTATTTGTTGAAACTGCACTTTCCATTGATTATGAATGAATTGTGATTATGATTATGAATTAATTGCCTCAGAAGTCACTCAAGACACATTATCAGTTTCCTGCATGGTTCCAGTGAAAATTAAGCACAGCATCTCATCTTTCTGGACTCAACACTGAATTCAACAATTTCAGATCATAGCCACGATCCCATTTCTTCCGGGCAACACTGTTGGTAATGATTCTGCAATCCTCATCTACATCTACTCTCGGCCCAGCTTTTATTTCTTCTCTTGTCAAATAGGAAACAGGCTATTTTGCACCTCATTTTGGCAGCGAGGAAACACTACGAAAGAGGCTTAAGGGGAGAGAATTGTTTTAAAATTTTTTTCAAGGGATGTAGGCATTGCTGGCTGGCCAGCATCCACTGTTCATCCTCAATTATCCAGAGTCAACCACATTGCTGTGGGTATACAGTTATGTGTAGTCCAGACTAGGTACAGGAGCACAGAATGGAGTGAGGAATATGGGGAAGGTACGAGGCCATAGGGTTCCATGGAAGCTATAAGGAAAGTGGGAGGCCTTTAAAAAAGTGTGATAGCTAGAGTTCAAGATCTTTATGTTCCTGTAAGGGTGAAAGGCAAGGTTGGCAGGAGTAGGGGACCCTGGATAACAAGAGGTATTGAGGCTTTGACCTGAAAAGAGGAGGAGGCATGGCTCAGTAGCAGGCAACTGGGATCAAGGGAATCTGTGGAGGTATATAGGGAATACAGGAGTTTACTGAAGTAGGAAATCAGGAGAGCAAAAAGGGGCCATGATATAGCTTTGGCTGAGAAGATTACGGTGAATCCAAAGAGATTCTTTCTAAGTATGTTAAAGGAAAAATGATAACTAGAGAGAGAATAGGACCCCTCAAGGCAGATATGTATGTGTGGAACCGCAAAAGATGGGTGAGGTCCTCAATGAATACTTCTACTCTGTGTCTATTGTGGAGAAAGACAAGATGACTTGGGAACTTACGGAAGTTAGTTGTGATATCTTGGGGACAGTCCATATCACAGTACAGATGGTGTTGGAAGTATTAGAATGTACGAAGGTGGATAAATCTTCTGGTCCTGACCAGATAGATCCAAGAATGCTGCAAGAGGCTGGGGAAGAAATTGCGGGGTCCTGGCTGATAGACTGGAGACTGGAAGACTGGAGGGTAGCGAATGTTGTGCCCTTGTTGAAGAAGGGCTGCAAAGAAAAGCCTGGGAATTATAGACCAGTAAGCTTAACATCTGTGATAGGTAAGTTACTTGAGAAGATTCTGAGGAATAAGATATACATGCACTTGGAAAAACAAGGTTTGATAAGGAGTAGTCAGCATGGCTTCGTGCGTGGGAGATCATATCTCATAAATTTGTTAGAGTTCTTTAATGAAGTGACCAGGAGGGCAGGGCAGTGGATGTAGTCTATATGGATTTCAGTAAGGCCTTTGATAAGGTTCCACATGGTTGGCTGCTCTGGAAGGTTAGATCACATAGAATCCAGGGAGAGCTGACAAACTGGATATACAATTGGCTTGATGGTAGGAAGCAGAGAGTAATACTGGAAGGATGCTTGTCTGACTGGAGGCCTGTGACTAGTGGTGTGCCTCAGGGGTCGGCGCTGGGCCCATTGCTGGTTGTTATTTATAAGGATGATTTGAATGAGAATGTACAAAGGCATGATAAATAGGTTTGCAGATGACACTAAAATAGGCGGTATTGTGGACAGTGAGGAAGGTTATCAGAAATTGCAACAGGATCTTGATCAGCTGGGGAAGTGGGCCAAGAAATGGCAAATGGAGTTTAATTTAGATAAGTGTAAGGTATTGCATTTTGGAAAGTCAAATCCAGGTAGGAATTTCGTGGTGAACGGTAGGGTCTTAAGGGGTGTAGTGGAAGAGAGGGACCTTGCAGTCCAGGTGTATGGTTCTCTGAAAGTGCAGTCACAGGACAGCAAAGGCGGCTTTTGGCATACTGGCCTTCATCAGTCAGGGTACTGAGTATAGAAGTTGGGAAATTATGATGAAGTTGTACATGATGTTGGTGAGGCTGCACTTGGAGTAGTGTGTTCAGTTTTGGTCACCTTGCTACAGGAAGGATGTTATTAAATTGGAAAGAGTGTGGAAGAAATTTACAAGGACCTTGCCAGGACTCAAGGGACTGAGTTATAGGGAGAGGCTGGGCAAGCTAGGATTTTTTCTTTAGAGCGTAGGAGACTAAAGGGGGCATCTTATCGAAGTGTATAAGATCATGAGAGGCGTGGATAGGGTGAATGCACTTAGTCTTTTCCTCACGGTTCGGGAATCAAGGACTAGAGGGCATCAGTTTAAGGTAAGAGGGGAAAGAATACATGGGAACCTGAGGGGCAACTTTTTTTTTTTATCCAGAGGGTGGTACACATATGGAATGAGCTGCCACCGGAAGTAGTTGATGTAGGTTCATTAACTACATTTAAAAGGCACTTGGACAAATAAATGGATATGAAAGACTTAGAAGGATATGGGCCAAGAGCATGGAAATGGGCTTAGGATGGGTGGAGATTTTGGTTGGCCAAAGGGTCTGTTTCCGTGCTGTAGGACTCTATGAAATAACTGCAGCTTACCAAGAAACTGCTGATGGTGTTGACTCTGTGCTACAATGGTTTGCTCTGCAGAGTTAGGAATCTGTTGGCCACTTCCTGCGAAGCCATCTCCCATTCCATCCAACTTCTGCATAGGTTTATATCTAAGAAACAGTATTATCAATTTCAAATTGAAAACACTAGAATTAAAGCATTAGCAAAATCTAAAGTTCCCAAGACTAACATCTTGGAAAAAAGAATTAAGAACAGAGAACATACTGGAGTCTCAATCTACAATAAACTTTATTACTCTGTGTGCAATAACAGCATAGACATACATTAAGAAAATTACATGAGCAAGAACAGAAATCAGTCCATTAAAACCCCCTTTTTTGATGTATTACTGCAGCTCTCCCATCATAGTATTTAACTATGTTTCAACCATTACTAGGAATTTTATTTTTGCCACCTACCTGGCAGATCTTGCCAAACATTCAGCAGTTGTCAACTAAACGGTTTCTTCCTGACTCAAACTTTAATTTTGGACTAATGTAAATTAGTTACGATTCCAACTTTCCAGGTTTAATTTAAAATAATATTGTGTGTTTCAATTATCCAGCTGCTGCTTATGCATAATCTATACCTGTTCTAATGATGCAACGTTCCATACCTGCATTTCTGACACTTGATTGTTTTCACTCAATAAGAGACTCACCTGGAATCATATCCATCTGTTTTATGCACTTTTGCTTTCATCTTTGCCTCTGTCACTCAGAACCATTTCCTCTTGCCCTCACTAGCCTCCCTATTCAAAGGATCATTATCCCCCATTTCGAGCAAGCACCTCTTCCAGTCTCCTCCTCTTTCATCATTTGGAAAGGACAATTCCACCTATAACAGCTTGGCTCCCTTACAATACCCTCTGCTCAAGCAAGTGCAGAAATACAACAGTTGCCCATTCACACCGTCTCTCCTCACTACCTAAAACCCCAAACACTTCTTCCAAGTGAAATAATAATTTGAAACTAGTACTTTCAATTTAGTATGCTGCATTTATCGTTAAATGTAAAGAGAGATCAAATCCAGTTTAGATGATGTCTTTGTAGAACATATACATTCAGTCCGAAAACAGGATCACAAATTTCTGTTGTCTCTCATTTTAGTTCTCTGCCTTATTCTCGCACTGACATTTCAATCATTACATCCTGCAGTAATGAAACTCACCAAAAGCTCAAAGGCACATCTTTCAATGTGTCACTTCACAGCCATCCAAACTCAACACGGAATTCAACAACATCACACCTAACCTCTGGTGCATTTTCCCAACAGATTTTTGTTTTACTCTCATTTTACGGTTGATGTTATTAGCTTTGCAGTATAGTAAAATTATCTGTGAAACCATTTAACATTCTATCCAGCAGCATGTTTTGCTGTTCAATAGTACTTGTTCATCGTTAAGCCTCACAGAGAAGAAGTGGTTTAGTAGAATGTTTCCATGTGTGACAAACTTCAAATGAGGATAGAGTGAAGAAATCAGGACCGTTCACCCTGGAGAGAAGACTGATTGAAGTTTTCAAAATCATAAGAGGGCTGCACAGAGTAGTTGGGGTGAAGTTGTTTCCCCTTGTAAAAGAAACAAGAACAAGACGACATAGACTTAAAGTGATGTGCAAACCAAGTGAGGGTAATGCAAAAATACTTTTCACTCAGCAAATTGTTAGAGTATGAAATGCACTGCTTGGAAACGTGGAGGAGGTAGGTTCAACTGAGGCATTCAAGAGGGGTACTGGGCGGTCTTTTGGATAGTGATGATTTGCAGAGATATGAGGAAAAGGCAGGAGATTGGCATTAGATAATAGAGCTAGTACAGGCACAATGGGCTGAAAGGCCTCCTTCTGCATCATAATATTCTGTGATTATGCCATTCTGACCTCCCCTATATACGTATTTTGTTCCTTTACTTTGGAACATAGGATTTAGGAATAGGTCATTTGGTCTTTGAGCTTGCTCCACCATTTAACAAAACAAGTCTGATCCGCTGGGGTCTCAACCCTACTTTCCTTCGTCCCAATTCAATGGCCCAGTTTCCATTGCTTTGGGAAAGAGAATTTCACACATAATGATCCTCAGAAAAAAAAATTCTTCTCTTCTCCACTTTAAAGGGAAATGTCTTATTCTTAAACTGTGATGTTTAATCTCCCTGCAAGAGGAAACTGATTACTACTCCCTTTGTTCCTGCACCACCAACTCCCTTATTGTTTAATCTCTTCTGTCTTCCACTTTATCAAAGATCTTCCCTTTTATTCTCTTGCTTGCCATTCCCCCTTTCATTTGCTTAAAAACTATTACATTTATAACTTTTCCCAGTTCCAAATAAAAATTACAGACCTGAAAAAAATTAATTCTGCTTCTTTTTCCACAGGTGCTGCTTAACTTGATTACTTTCAGCATTTTGTTGTTATTTTAGATTCACAGTATCTACATTAGTTTGTTTCTGTATCATCTTATCTCTTGCACCTTAATAAGATCTCCAATCAAGCAGTATCCTTCAAGACTGTTGAGTGTATATTTCCCTCATTTGCAGCAGTGGCCATTTGGAGAGGTGAATGGATATATGGAGCACCATATTTCTATCTTGTTACATTTTCTGACAATGAAAGATGAGAAGCATCATCTACATTGTAGGGAAATGCAAGAGTGATTTGCAGTTGGGGCATGTTGGCCCTGCTTGCAAATTTCTGGCACAAAGGTCATTTGAATTAGATCAACGGGGTTGTTAAGTGGCAATAAATATCCTGGAAGTGATGGAAAAGTCACATTAAGGTTTTTATTATCTCCTTGTTGGCACTTATCTTCTTAGGAATAGCCACTGACCTTGACAATCATTGGAGGTTTGTATCATGGCGAATCGCATTTATTACATAAATGATAATCTAAACCGGATCCAAGGAACAATTAGCAACATGATAACATCAAACTTAAGTGTTGTGATACACACTGTGGATGACTAAATGGTGACATAGATAGTTTAATGGAATAGGCTGCACAATACTGAACCATTGGAAAAAACAATTAAGAGAAAAAAAAACCTTAAATAAGTTTTAGGCAGAGTATAGGAACAGAATGATCGTGCACCAGGTACACATGAAACCCAAAACTGCAAATAATGTTTTCTTTTTCAGCACAGCTATGAAATTTGAAAAGTAAATTGATAGAGTGGTCTTATGTAACAGAATAGCTTACAATAAGATAGGTATTGTTTGATTGTATTCATGCAATTGCATCATGTTTATGCACAATCAAAAATTGTAAATTGGTAGTTAGAAAAATAAAATCACTTTATGAATGCAGAATAATTGGCAACAAATGTTTCTGAAGCAGGATCAGTAAATAACAAAATAAATGAGATAATTGCTTGTAAAAGAAGCATCTGTGGATTCTGGGAGTAATTAGAAGAATGGTATTAGATGAAGTTCCTCATGAGTAGAGAAACGAAGGACATTTGATACGCTGAATGATCCGTTTCTGCACTGCAGTAGTCTAGTCTATCGACAAAATCATTCTCTTTGCAAGAACCTAAGAATTGAATTAGCTTCTACGTAAAAGTACGTTTAGAATTAATAATTTATTTAAGGTAGCGTAGAAAATATTAGGAGTTGGCAAAAAAATTCAACAACAACAGATAGAAAAAAAGGGATCGCAGACAACAAATACACAAATCACTAAATGTTGAGCAACAGGATAGAAAGGCCAGAGAAAAGTACAAGGCATTTTTTTCTCAAAAGATAAAACTAAAAAGTAGGAAAGTTATTCTGAACCTGTATCAAACCCAAATCACACTACACTTGAGCTACTGTGTACAGTTTGGGCTGCTATCTTATGAAAAGGATATAGAAACACAAGAGATGGTACAAAGGAGATTAACAAGGATGATACAAGTATGTGGGTATATGAATCAGGAAAAGACTGGCAGATTGGGTCTCATTTCTCCTGAATTAACGAGGCTGAGAAGTGAACTAATAGAAGTCTTTAAAATTATGAAAGGTTTTGATAAACGGACACTATTTCCTCTGGAGAACAGCATAACAAGAGGCCATCAATAAAAGATAGTACAAAGAAATCCAATAAGGAATTCAGGAAAATAACGTATTTCCTAAAGAGTGGCAAAGATGTGGAGCATCTCATTCAGGCTGTGATTGAAGCAAACAGCATTTTTAAATGTTACAGAGATAGTAGGAACTGCCGATGCTGGAGAATCTGAGATAACAAGCTGTAGAGCTGGACGAACACAGCAGGCCAAGCAGCATCAGAGGAGCAGGAAAGCTGACGTTTTGGGTCTAGACACTTCTTAAGAAATGGAGGAGGGGAAGGGGATTCTGAAATAAATAGGGAGAGGGGGGAGGCGGATAGAAGATGGATAAAGGAGAAGATAGGTGGAGAGGAGACAGACAGGTCAAAGAGGTGGGGTTGGAGCCAGTAAAGGTGAGTGTAGGTGGGGAGGTAGGGAGGAGATACGTCAGTCCAGGGAGGA